ATTTTGCTATATGTGACACAAATGTTGCTACAGACGAATCATGTGTTGTGACATGTGCCACAAATGTTGGTATAGATGATTCGTATGTTGATACATATGACACATATATTGCTATCGACGAATCACCTGTAGCAACATGTGTCATATGTTGCAACACATGACTCGTCTGTAGCAACATTTGTGGAACATGTACAAGCAGATGAATCATTTGTAGCAACATTTGTGGCACATGTCCCAACACATGATTCGTCTGTAACAACATTTGTGTCACATGTAGCAACAAATGAATTATACGTAGCAACATGTGATACAAATGTAGCAAAATATGCCTATAATACACTAATAATATCTTACTGCATCAAAAGGAATGTTAAAAAGATCTGGAATATGCCCTTCTTTGTTAGTTTTTGTTCTTGCCATCAACCATTTCATCATCATTAGGGATGATCTCTCTTCTTCTGCAATTACTTGATGGGTAAAATAAGGAATGACTTCTAATGCTCAGGCATGTAAAAAAGGAGAACCTCTCAATAATCACATGTTGAATTATTACTTTATATAATATAAAAAGATTAAAAATATTCATCTTTACCATGAAAGCCCATGGAAACCCAAACAAGTTACTGGTGTTTTCTCCTAAAGGCCTCATCATGTAGTCGACAGTTAGATGAAAGCTATCATGACCCCACGGTAGTTCTTGAAAGATTCAATATCTTGACAGAAATTGACATACTTTAAAAGTATGTTGTTTCCCAGATCCTTCGGTAAAAGTATATTATGTGTAAACCAAAATAAGCACAATGACTCCTTGTGCTTCCTTGGTGTATCCTCCCATTCCAACAAACTTAATAAGTCAAAAATTTTAAAGCTTTTGCCAACAAGGGACATCAAGTCCTGCTCCTCAGTTGGCAGTGACTATTGTCCTGCTTCTGCTACTTCTTTAATTACTTTCATTCTTTGTGGTTCTGTTTTAACAATGTATTCAGGGATTGTCTCAATAGGAGGATTACATTTTAGCCTTGTAACTATGGCAAATTCTATTATGCTAAGGAAAACTGGCATGCCAGAATAATTAATTAGAATCTCATCCTTCTTATTGAGATTTTCAAAAATGAACCTACTTTTCAGAAGTTCATACATGATGGAGAAAATGTGGAAGTAGGTCAATGGGTAAATCAAGAAAATGACCAAAACAACTATTTTTGGAAAAATCTTTCAATTGTTTTCTCTTGAGGATATCCCTGAATTTGACGAAATGTCTTCCAAGGACAGACCTTATAATGCTGTCACCATTAGCATCAGGCTGCAAATGCACAGGGAAAGTGTCTGCATTGATGATTTTAATCCCATCATCACTACTAGCATTGAACTTTTCATGAAGTTCTGGTTCTTCTTCATGAACTTCATTTATTTTTTCTTGTTGTGCCACAACTACTACTTCTGTATTTTCCTCTTCTTCTTCCTGAACTTCATTTATTTTCCCTTGTTCCTCAACTCCTTCTCGTTTTCCATCTTCTTCATCCACTACTTGTCTTTGTTAATATTTCTTTTGACAAAATTCTACTTCTGTTTGAGAAGAAGAAACTGCTTCAGTTGCAAGAGTTTCTAAAAGTGTAGTATTTTCACTCCTCTTCCTAGCAATTTTAGCCCTAGCCTTCTTCTAGATCTTTATTTTGTCAGATGTATCAATATCAAGTTTTCTTTTGATAGAAGCCATTATATTTGTATCTTCAACCACAAAAATAAAATATTTGAAATCCCCAAAATGAGCTACAACCACAAATCAAAACATGGCAATAAGGAGATAAGCAAGCAAATGCATTTCAATCACTAATTAAATATTACCTGATAAGATATATATCAACGATAAAGTAGTAACTATGAGGACAACACAACACGGCCTTTGTTGTAGCAGATGATCTGTGAAAATAGAAAGAGAAGAAGAGAAGAGAAGGAGAAGTGTATTGTACTGGCAAAGGGAGAGGAGAAAACTAAAATTAGTTATTAGTATAAATAAATAAATCTTGGAATGCGAAACAACACATTTATAGAAGAGAGGATAGAGGAGGGGAGAGGGGAGAGGAAAATGAAAATTAAAGCCGTTTATTTTTTTAAACTAGGACAATTCAAACTGTGACATATGTTGCCATATATATATATATATATATATATATACACACACACACACACACACTATATGTTGCTACATATATACGATTTGTTGCCACATATAATTTGTCGTGTTTATTTCTACAGAAATTACATATCTTGTGACACATATACTATCTGTTGCTACAAATGATTCGCTCTGTTGCCAACTATAATTTTGATCCTTTCCATCATAATTGACATTTGTTTAAACAAAATCAAAATAATCATAAAAAATATTTTAGTACATAACCACTTATCTAATTAATGGTTGTAAACACAAAATTTTCATCGATCTTAGCTTCTTGTTTAGTTTTACGCATCTCTGGGTCTTTATTGTCACTAACATAACCATATCGAGCCTTTACAATCACATAATTTCATATGAGTGAAGCATATCTCAAGCGAAGGGCGTCAACAGTAATTCCAAATGATGGTACTTGTAATCAATCACTCAAATACTCAGTGTATGCAGCAACAAGAATTCCACAATCTTGGCATGGTATATCATCAATAAGAAAATATAATAACATCACATTTCGATAGTCGTAAGATAAAATAATATTGTGATACTTACAGACTACTACTTTCTTGTTGGGCAATACCAGTAATATGACTGACTTCAAATGGGTGAGATTTTTTCTTTCCTTGGTAACATTTAAGAACTGACCAGTTGATTTGCTCATTTTGCTAAAAAATCCACTGAACTCAAGGTACTTTGCCAACATTGTAGTCATATTTTTAATGTCGGAGGATAGTTTCTATTAGACCTATTTGAGGACATGGAATCATACACTTTTATGCATCGTTCCTTCAATGCAATGACTGCCAAGACTGAATGGAATTCCGCATTACTATTTACAGGGACATAAACATCATCTGTTAAGTGCCAAGGCATTCCAGAAGGTATATGATACCCTTTAATTATGTCAATGATTTTACCCTAACATTCACTAGAATTGTCAATGTATGTTTTGAAAAAACAACTAGTGGTGGTATATTGATATTACAATAAATCTATTGCTTCGACTTCTTACACAGATAGTAAAGTATGACATCCACATACTTCACACATAGATGAAACAAGTGTATAATTTTAATTGTATATATTCATGTACTAAACAATGCATATATTTTAATTGTATATATTCGTGTATAGTTTTGAGCAACTGGCTAAGTAGTGATCCTCCTTGTTTCCTCTGCAATTGTGTAATCATTATAAATCATATTTATTGGACAACAAGAAGAAATTCGAATAATAGTTAAACGGCCTTACTTTACTTACTTTTTTGCATGATGCTTGTAAAGACCCTCGTTTATCCATTGCGATAAGGATGACATTAGTTTAGCTGGACCCTTGTCTTCAATGTTAAAATCTTCAAATGGATATTGTCTCTTCACATCACAACTAACATTTTCGACTTTCTTCCCTTTCTTTTTTGCTTTAACTTTTTCTTTCTGCTTCACCTTCTCCTTCACCTTCTCCTTCTCTTTGTGCTTCTCCATCTCCTTTGCCTTCTTCTTCTCCTTCTCCTGTTTTTCCTTCTTCTCCTTCTCCTTCTATTCAGTTGTCTTCTTCTCCCTCTTCTTATCCTCCTTTGCCTTCTTCTCCTTCTCCTCCTTTGCAATCTTCTCCTTCTTCTCCTTCTCTTCCTTTGCATTCTTCTCCTTTTATTTCTTCTCAATAATCATAGGAAGTGTTTGAGAAATAGATTTTTTCAACCTCATACATTTCAAAGGATATGAAATCTTCTTGGATCTTTGCACATCAATATTATGAGATATTTCCTCAAAAATATCAGTGAGTTCGTAAACACGACTAATAAAATAATCATGTTGTTGCACACATTCTTCGCATCGACAAAAAGACCATTTCATGTTAGAAGATTGAGTTGTTGTCATAAATGAAGCTTCTTGTATCATTTAATCTACAAGGTAAATAAAAAGTATTGAGATTTTAAAATTTATTGTAAAATAATAATTGTTGTATGTTGCAACCGATGGATAGTCTGTTGCGATAAGTTTACATTATGTTGCCACATATGTACTTGTTGTTGCTTAACATGTACATCTTATGTAGAAACATATGCATCATATGTTGACCATCTATACATATTATTGCGACATTTGAATCTTATGTGGCAATAGATGACCAACATATCACTAAAATTTGGCAACATACGCTAAATATATATTGGACGCTAGAATAACACTATATTTCTAAAATCATATCAACAAAATGGCCAAAAAAAAGAACAACAACAACAAAAAAAACGACTTTTCACTGAATGATAACATTACAGATACATTTCCTCAAAATACGGATTTTTTGAGTTGGTTGATTTTCTTTGAAAATGATGAATAATACACATCATTTAGTCGACTATTCATTTTTTATACTTACAAAACATTTTATTATTCATTAATCCAAGAAAAAACATCAAAAATTGTAAAGTATTTCAAATAAATAACTTACCAATTTCTATACGAACACGATTACAGTTTAGAAAGATGAGAGAGTAATGGAGGACTAGAGAACAAGAGTAACAACTGCATAGGAAGAGTAACGATGGATTTCTGAATTTCTAAGGAAGAAGATGAACAATCGTCCAAGGGAGGAACAAAAGAAGAGAGAGAAGAGAGGAAGGAAGATGAAAAGACTTTTTTCTTTTAAATGATTTGGTTTGAATAATAAAAGTTTGTATTTTATAAAAGATTAGAAAATTTTGAAAATGTTAATTTGGTCCAAAAATTAGTTAATTACATTTTAAAGAAGATTTGACAAGTTCTTGATCAATCTGTAACCAAAAACAAAAACAAGACTTATTTGACACTTTCTTCTTAATTTTCTCAGGTGAATTATAGTGTTCATTCTCTATTTTACTCTCCAAATATAAAGAATGGAGAGTAAAATAGAGGTGAGTTGGAGATGGTCTAAGAAAGAATACACAAGTAGCTAATTAACAATACACAAATACGCCCATTGATTTAATTATTTTTTGTAATATCAATAAAGAAATAGTATTTGATTAAATTAATAGATAACTACACCAACCCAAAACCACTGCCTTCGAATTATTCTTGATCCAAACACATCCGCGTAATTTGTTATCCTCATCGCTTAATAATAGCCGTGCTTCATACCCTATAAATTGACTTTGACAGGCATCCAATTTTTCCATGAAGGTTTGTATTGGTTTACATATCTTTATTTTCTATGATGATTTGGTGTTCTTTCTTTGAAATTTGATCAAGATATATAGGTAATTATTGTTGATCAATATATGTTTTAGATTTGTATGATTCTGATGTCTTCTCTTAGTTTTGTGTTGTGGGTTATGATTTGCAACTCTTTGATCATTGATCATCTCTGTAGACAAGTTAATACGGGATGACAAATATTAGGGGTTTTAGGCGTTCCAATTAATTCTGTTTTTTATTCGTTATTGGTGTTTTTTTGATCAGATATGGGGAGAATTATTATCGGTACCTGTGCAGTGCATTTATTTTCTGATTGATTCCCAATGTATTTATAGAAATTGGAAGCTGGTAGCCATTCTAGATTTAGTTTTAGGGAATCAAGTTTTGGGAAATCTGAGGTTTTTGTTGTGAGAAATTGTCTGTTTCCTATTTACTATTATGAAATCTAGCATTTTCCTTTTGTTGAATCAGAATATGAGTAGAAGTTGATCTTGGGATGAATCAGTCCCATCATCTTTTCTTGTATTTACAACAACAACCATATAGTGGACCTATCAGTTTGGATTTGATATCTTGACATCCATCTTTAATGCTAATTTACATGCTAATCATGTTTCTCCTTGCTCAACTTATTTGGTTTGATTATCACCGGATGCCATTCTTAGATTTCATCCATTCCCCTCAAAGATTAACATTGCTTTTACGCTTCTTTAAAATAGGGAAATTGGGACTTGATAAATTGAAAATCATCCTAGGTGGCTTCTTCAGGTAAAAGGTTCGCCCATTGCACCAAGATGTATGTTGCCGCCTTGTTTCCTCTCTTGCTCATTCTCCTGTCTAACACTGCTACAGGTTCAACCAATGGTTTGCCATTATATGAGCAAAGAGGAGGGTCTATGGATGGAATTGTTTGTTTCCCAACTTTCTTCTTAAGTTGTGAAATGTGGAACACAGGATGTATTTTTGCTGTCGGGGGTAACCTCAGCTAATAGGCCACCAATCCAATCTTTCTGACGATCTGATAGGGTCCATAGAATTTTGAAGCTAACTAGAGGTTATTTCTTGTAGCTATTGAAGCTTGTCTATATGGTTGTAGTTTCAAAATCACCCAGTTCCCTTCTTCAAATTCCCTCTCCGTTCTTTTCTTATCAGTATTCATTTTCATTCTGTTTTGTGCCTTTGCCAAATTTTCCTTTTACACTTTAGCCATAATCTACCTCTCTTTGAATAATTGATTAATATCATCTACTTTAGACTGTGCTATTAACTCGAATGAAAGTTGTGGAGGGTCATAACCATAGACTACTTTGAAGGAAGTCTTTTTTAGTGATGAATGGTAGTTGCTATTGTACCAATACTCAGCTAATGAAAGCCATTTGTTCCAATCCTTTGGTATATGTCCCGTCAGACACCTTAGGTAATTTTCTAGACACCTGTTCAATCTTTCAGTCTGCCCATCAGTTTGTGGATTGTAAGCAGAAGTGTAAAGTAGTTGAACTTTCAGGTTCTTAAAAATTTCCTTCCAGAAATTGCTCAAGAAAATGTTGTCTCTATCTGATACAATAATCTTAGGTAAACCATGTAGCTTATAAATGATATCCATAAACACTCTAGCTACTTGAGATGCAATATAAGGATGAGATAGAGACATAAAATAAGCATACTTGTTATACCTGTCAACTATTACCAGAATAGGTTCTTGCCCTTCTGATTTTGGACTTCTACGAAGTCCATTGGTATGTGTTCCCACATTCCCTCAAGTACTGGAAGGGGTTGTAATAACCCCGGATAAAATACTTGTTCATCCTTGTACCTCTGGCAAATGTCACATTCTTGAACCACCACTTTCACCTGCTCAATCATAGTAGGCGAATAGAAGATTGCCTTTAGCCTCTGATAGGTTGCCCAAACTCTAGAATGTCCTCCCAACATAGAGTTGTGTATTGTGGAAACCAACTGTTGTCTCAAGACTCCATTATTCCCTATCCATACCTTCTTTTATTTCTCAGTATTCCTTGTTGTATGGAATTGTCTGGATCATTCCCTGCATTAGTACTTAAAGTTGTGATTGCAGTTACTACTTCTTGATCCCCTTCATAACTATGTAGTATCTCTTCAATCCATTTGGGTTTCAATTGAGATATTAGTACGCACTGCTGAGATGTAATTTCAGTCTGGTGATCTACCTTCCTTGACAAAGCATCAGCCACTACATTCATAACTCCTTTCTTGTAGTGAATTTCAAAGCTTAACCCCATCAACTTGGTTAAGCCTTTGTGCTGCAATGATGTTGTTATGTTTTGCTCTTATAGAAACTTCAAACTAAAATGGTCAGTTTTAATAATGAAGTGGTGAGGAAGAAGGTAATGTCTCCATTTGTCTACAACTTGTAGAAGAGCAATTAGTTCCTTTTCATTAGTAGATAGTCCTTGATGTTTTTTGCTCAAGGATTGACTCATGAATGCCAAGGGTCTCTTATCCTGCATCTGTATAGCTCCAACTCCAGTGTTGCATGCATCCACCTTTAATATGAATGGTTTACTGAAGTCAGAAAGTGCTAACACTGGAGCGTTAGACATAGCTAATTTTAATTGATAAAATGCTCTTTCAGCTTCCGTATTCCATTTAGATTCTCCTTTCTTTAGTAAATTTGTTAAAGGCTTATTCAGTTGTGTATACCGCCTGATGAACTTCCTGTAGTATCCTGTTAACCCTAGAAAACCTCTCAGTTCTTTAATAGTTTTGGGTCGTGTCCAGTCAATCATAGCAGAAATCTTTGAGTGATCAGTACTTACACTATTTCTAGAGATGATATGTCCCAAGTATTCTACCCGAGGCTGTCCAAAATCACATTTGCTGAGCTTAGCAAAGATATTATTTGCCTTTAGTAGCCTCAACACAACCTTTAGATGACGTATGTGCTCTTCCATGTTCTTACTATATATTATTATATCATCAAAGAATACCAATATAAACTTTCTCAGCTGGTCTTTGAACACCACATTCATTAAGGACTGAAATGTGGACGGAGCATTAGTCAATCCAAATGGCATAACTCTGAACTCCCATAGGCCATGGTTAGTTCTGAATGCAGTCTTGTATTATTCACCACTCCTCATTATTATTATACCTCGCTCTAAGATCAATCTTTGAAAACCCAGTGCCCCAAACAATTCATCTAAAAAATCATCAATCCTGGGAATCAGGTACATATTCTTTATAGTTAAGTTGTTTAATCTCCTGTAATCAACACATAATCTCAATGTATAATCCTTTTTTGTAAACAATAGAGCAGGGGAAGCAAAAGGTGAATGGCTTGGTACAAGAGTGCTAGCCTTAAGCATATAATACTCAATAGCATTCTTTTGATCATATGAGTACATGTAGGATGTTAGATAAAAAGGCTAAGCACCTAGAACTAGATTGATAATATGATCACAAGTTCTTCTTGGGGATAATTTACTTAGGCTCCTGGAAAATACTTACATGTTGTTCAAGTAATTTGCTGATTCTGGGATGCAACACTTATTTCTCTTTTGTCGCCTTCTCTTCTTGTATCATAGCTAACTTAGATACTACCTCACAAGTACCAGAGTGTATCATTCTCTTAAGTGTTTCAGTGTCTACTGCAGTAACTTCAGACTCCTCAGTAACCCCATACAAAGATATGATTCTTCCATCAGTTATGAAGCTTAGGCTATGGGGTCTGATATGCAAAATGAGTGGTGCCACCATATCTATCAAGTCCATTCCTAAGATCATGTCACAGCCTCCCAACTTTCATTAGTTTGAGATGAAAATTTAACTGTTCATCTTGCATTTTCCAGCCAAAAGAAGGACTCATGAATTGACAGCTCATTAGCTCACCATTAGCTACTAATATCCTCAGAGGCTTCCTCAGGGGTTCTACTGGTAACGTTAATATTTTCACAATGTGGGGATCAATAAAGGAATGGGTAGATACACTATATATTAAAATTACAATAGGTAGTTTCCTGGTATGGTCTATGATTTTAATGGTAGACACATTGCTATTGGCAGAACTCAAGCCCACCAAGACATTAAGAGACACTTCAGCTTGTTCTTTTGCTTCTTCCTCTAGTGTCTTAGGGACATCTACAACCTCTGCAAGTTGATCTCCTTCTCCTTCCATCTCCTCAACTTCCATAGCATGTAATGCTCTTTGTTTGCGCTGATGACACGGATGATATTTCTCTTTCCAATTGTAACAAAGCCCCTGCTATCCCTTAATGCCCCAAGGTGTTGTGGTAGAGTATTTGGTTTGAGAGGAGCTCAACCTTGTGTTTTATGGTTTGGATAGGTTATTCTCAATGGTTGTTGATGATTGTGGATTCCCACAACTGGTCTATTTGGAGGGTTTTAAGGATTTCTAGGATATGAGATGGCTAAGGCTCTTTGGTTTGTGGTTTGAGGCAGTTTATTAGGGACAAAGGGAATTAGGGCCTTGAATGATTTTCATATAATTTGGATATTTCATAAGCATCTAACACTGTGGTAGGGTTAGCTAACTTCACAATGGCTTTAATTCAGGTCTAAGGCCACTGTTAAAACTAGCTACATAATGAGTTTTATTCAAGAGTGGATTAATAACAGTCATATAACTGGTAAGATCTTCAAACTTGTCTTGATACTGATCCACAGTCCCCACTTGCATCAGTTTATTAAATTCATCTACGATATCTTGGGGTCTTCTATTCCCAAACCTTCTACACAATTCCATGCAGAATCTCTTCCATTTCATCCTCCCTCTATGATTGACAATGTAACTATCAAACCACATATCCACTCGATTCCCCAAATGTACAGAAGCATAACAATGTTTTTCATGTTCTGAAATGTTGTACAATTCAAAAAACTTTTCAAACTTTCTGAGCCAACTTCTGGGATTACAACCATCAAATTTAGGGAAATTAATTTTTGGTTTAAGTGTCCTGGGCTGGGGTGTAGACGCTATATGCATAATCGGGGGTGGGAAGTATAGTAGGGGATGAGGAATACATGGAATTCCTGAATAAGGGAGGACTCGAGAAAATTAGAGCTGGAGGAAAAGAGAAACCCCGACCCACTTTAAAAATATATGGGGTAAATGAAGGTTGAGAACCTACCATTTCAGGTGAAGAACTTACGATTGGTAATTTTCCGGTCAAAGTTTGGCAAGTCTCCACTTGGACCCGAGTTTCATGGGTCGCTGTTGGTGTTGCTCGTGGAGTCAAATAAGGTGGGGTGGTGAGGGAAGAGTTCGGGCTGTTCTGCAATGCCATATTCTAAATGATGTACTCAAGCTTCTTGTTCGTCTCATAAATCTCACCCAACTGAACCTGAAACTGTGATTGATTCAGTTCGAGGGTTTCAAAACATTTGCCCACATCCTCTTAAAAACTGATAGTTTACTGCGCACCATGAGGATATCGTCTTGCAAGCTTTGCAGCTCTGAAGGCGACGCCATTACAGAAAGTGTTGAAGGAACATGGGGCTCTGATAGCATTGTAACAAGAGGTGATTCTTGTTACTAAGACTAAGAATAAGAAGTACGAGAAAAGGAAAGAAGGAGAAAGAAGTTTCAATAATTTTCTGATTATCTTCCTCAAAGTAATACAAGGATATATAATCCTTTAGGATCAGTACAATAGTACGATAGCTGTCCTCAATCCAAAACAGAATTTAGGACTAGAAAGTAATAAAATAACTATTGTTAAGGACTAGGAAAGTAAATACTAAAATTAACAACTGAAATACCTAATGTACTTAAATATCATAATCTAAACTTCATTTGTTAACGGTCACAACAACTTTTGTGACAGATAAGTAGTCAAAAGTCTAGTTTTGGATCCTAGATAGTATGGTGAAATGCTCCTTTGCCTTTTGTGTCTTAGCTACTTATCTATTAATTTACATCTATTTTCCCTTGGTTATCACGCCTCCTTGCTTTTTCTTTGTTGGTGAATATGTGCGCAAACCATGTGTTGACATAAATGGAGGATTAGTTTTGGAGACTTCAAATGCTTGTATCAAGTATGCGTTCCGGTGCACCTG